TCCTCCTCTTTCTCCCTCCTTTCCTTCCTTTCCTTTCCTTTCCTTTCCTTTCCTTTCCTTTCCTTTCCTTTCCTTTCCTTTCCTTTCCTTTCCTTTCCTTTCCTTTCCTTTCCTTTCCTTTCCTTTCCTTTCCTTTCCTTTCCTTTCCTTTCCTTTCTCTTTCTCTTTCTCTTTCTCTTTCTCTTTCTCTTTCTCTTTCTCTTTCTCTTTCTCTTTCTCTTTCTCTTTCTCTTTCTCTTTCTCTTTCTCTTTCTCTTTCTCTTTCTCTTTCTCTTTCTCTTTCTCTTTCTCTTTCTCTTTCTCTTTCTCTTTCTCTTTCTCTTTCTCTTTCTCTTTCTCTTTCTCTTTCTCTTTCTCTTTTTCTTTCTTTCTTTCTTTCTTTCTTTCTTTCTTTCTTTCTTTCTTTCTTTCTTTCTTTCTTTCTTTCTTTCTATTCTCTCTTCTTTATTTCTTCCTCTTTGTTTCTTTCTTTCTTCTATTTATTTATTTATTTATTAACAAAAGTATATCTATGCCTTTAAAAAGCCCTTAGAAATCAAAAACTCCCAGTGACTCGAAGCTGATGTTCTGGTCTCCTGGGGATAAACTGAAGGAACCCGAGGGAATTCTGGGCTCTGTGTGGTAACTCCTGGGTATCCCAAGGCAGGGTCTGGGTAGAATTAAATACACAAAGGGCATCTTCTGTGTGCTAATGTGTCCCTTGGATGGGCTGTTTTCCCTTGTCTAAAAGCAGAAACAATATTTTATCACATTAACTCAGACATTTTGAGAATGCTTTTGTGATTTTCTTTTTAGAGATCTTAAATTTTTTCACATGACTCATAGTACTGGGGCTCCTTTATACACATTAAATTTAGTTTTTGAGGTTATTTAGTATTTTTAAATCCTTTCTTCTTTTTCTCTTTGAAAAGGGAGCTCATTTAAAATAATAATAATAATAATAACAATAAAAGATTAGTCCCTTTGCTCTTGTGCAGTTCACTTTGCACATGGTGCAATGTGTTGGAGACAAGAAACCATTGAAATAGACAAGAAGAGAGGTAAAGAAAGTTGGATGGAATTGGACAGACCAACAGAAGGTCATATAACGGGCAGTTGGCAGCTGGTGGCCACCAGGTTCTCACCACCTGGAATGGCTGCTTTGCCCAAGGAGAAGCAACAGCAGCTGATCTGGAAATGGAACCAGCAGTGATTCACAACAGAGTGGATTTTGAGGGAGAAGAAGGACTTTCAAATGATTTGAGGTGCTGAATCAGGTTAAAGAACCCCGAGGCTGATGCTTTAAGCACTTTTCAACAAATGATGTGTTTGGGCAACTGAGCAGTAGGACTAGAAGGGAATTGAATTTCAGATGTGTTGTTTTACCAGCCTGCCTTTGAGCTTTTCCTGTCTGTTTTTAGTTTTACCTGTGAATTAATATATTCTTTCAATTGTTTCTTTTTTCGTCCTCCTAAGGAGTTTAACTTGTCTGTTTGTTTGTGATAGCAGTTTAGCCTTCTGTTTTGATTAGGAAAAAGACCACAATTATACCTGGTCTGGTGCCATCTTGTTTCAGACAACTCTTTTGCTTAAAACCATTACTGGATTAGAGATCACTGTGACTTATAGTTCACGGTATGAAGTCTTTTAAATACTTAATGGCATATTTGAAGTGAAAGGAGTAAAAATTAAAGACCGAATCGTTTCCCAAGAAATAACAGGTCATATTGATTTATTTCTGCAAGACTTGGTAGAAATTTGCTGCTTTCTCTAAAATGAGTTTGTTTCAGTTACAATTATATGGAAGGAATGATTATAAGAGGCTTATGAGTCAGGTTACAGTAGCATTCTTCTGGGAAAACCTTCCAGGACTGGGCAGCAGGCAGCTTTCTGTTTTGCACCTGCTGATAGGTGTGCAGAGTATGTGAAAGGGTCAGAAAATAGGGGTTTACATTCATGAACTTTTCCTTTTTTCTTTCACCTACTTTTCCCCAATTCTTATGACTTACGATATGCTCACTAGAATGACCATTCTTTATCTTCAGTATATTTTTACATTTTTAGTCTGCATCGTATTTTGACACAATGTATAGAATATAGGTAGTAAAAATGATTATTACATGAGAATTTTCTTTATAAATTATAAATAGCCATAGAAATGTGCTTGCCATTATTATGACTTAATAGCTATGTAATCTTAGAAAAGTAATTTTATATATTAGTTAGAGCATCCTTCCCCCATCCCATGGGGTCTGTGTACTTACCAGAGAGAGACAGAGAGGGGGAAAGTGAGCACTAACCCCCCCCTCCAAGGCGATGACCATGCTACAATTGCCTGGTGTGATTTTCAAACCACCGGGTCTAGGACTCAAACTGTGGTAACCCATGTGGGAACCCAGTGACTTACCACTGTGCTACATGCTAAAAACCTCAAGCATCTGGGTTTTTGCACTTACCTTAAAAAAAAAAAGAATTATTATTATTATTATTATTTTTTTGTTGTTTTAATTTGACCAGAGGGGAAGAGAGAGAGAGCAAGCCGCCAGGTCTGGGACTCGAACTGCATTCAGCCATATGGGAGTCCAGCACCCTTACCCACCACACCACCTGCTGGCCCCTTTGCACATACTTTTTAAAAAGTTTATTAATTTCATGAAAGAGAGACAGAGAGAGAGAGAGAGACATCCCTGACAAGGTTTTGCCCTCCCTGTGGTCCTCCCTCCAGCCTTCCAGGATCACGGGTATATTTGAGAGCACACCTGGTGTGTTCAGATGGACCCAGGATCTGAACCCTAGGCCTTCATGTGTCTGCAGTATGCACAGAGCATCACACTGCCTGTGCCTCTACAGGCAGGCCACATCTTCTAGTTCTGAATGAGTAAAATACAACTCCAACTCGCAGGAGCGTAAACAAAGGAGCACAGATTTTAGTGGAGATTTTGAGTGTCTTGGCTAACTGTGAACATGAGAGTGGTGCAGTCAGACTTTAGTGACCATGGAACCAGGGACTCCGAGTCTGTACAGTCTGCAGGACCCAGCCTCACCTCTGTTCCTGTCTGTATGTCAGCCTCATGTTCTCTGTCTGTAACCCTGAGTTTTCCTGGTGGTGGGAAGCAGGGCTGGAAATAGCTGTCAAGTCTCATCTCCTGCCATATCCTTGCACTTAGCAAATATTAGGGAAGGACTCTGACTGGCTCTGCTTTGGTCAGGGACTCACATCCATACACTAGGCTGTTATCAGGAGGCCAAGTCACATGCACAAAGGTGATTCCTGGGAACTCACCTCGTAAGACCACTGGGAACCAGTTACCTCCCCACAACCCCCCCTCCCCCCATGGGGCATCCCTTTTCCTCCATCTCTCCTTCCTTTTGGGATGGATTTTGGATACACATGCACATGCCCTCGGCATGTTTCTCAAGCTGCCGTGTTGAGCTGGATTAGCCATGTGAGATCTTGCTGCCCCAACCTCCAGGGCATGGAACTGGCCCTAGAATTTCTTAGTTTTTAGAGTGTCCTTAAGAAAATTGTATTCATCCTATGTGCCATATATGCAAGTAATATAACCATACATGAGTACTTAATGCGATTAAAATTTGTACGTCTCTGGGACCAGCAGTTAGCGTAATGGCTATGTCTCTGGACTCCCACGTAGTCGACAACAGTTTGAGTCCCGGACCCAGTGGCTTAAACTCATGCCGGGCGTGTGTGTGTGCGTGCCCAAGATCCTGAGAGAAGAACGGAGGAGAAGGGATTGTGGCGTGGCCATCCCCCCTGGGGGGTGATTTCTCGCCTTCTGTCTCTCTGTCTCTCTCTGTCTGTCTGGCAAGCGCATGCGCCCTATAGCAAAAACTTCTCAAAAAATTTTTTTTTGTACGTCTCTTAGGAGCACTTACTGAACTATTTTTTCCTATTAGAGGTGTACAATCAAAACAGTTTGGTGCTCTAGTCAATCATCTATTCTATAGACAAGGCTCTCCCTGAGCCTAACTGATGTGATTGGAAGTTGATGCCATTTTCAGATATTTTGACCAGGTAATAGCAGAGACAGTATAGTTATAGAATGGCATTCCTTTATAGCATTTTCAATAACTGTATTAGGTGGGTCACTTTCTCTAAGTTTTATAATTCTGTTCTCTCTTCAGTGAGTTTTCCTGTCTCTTCTCAGGTCTTCCTTCGGTTTGTTTCCCTCTATCTTTATAGCTTTCTTGAATGCTCTAGAAAGCAATTGGAGGCGTCATAACGAAGCAGTCTCATTCTGTAACTTCCTCTGCCTCCCTCTGGGAAACCTCTCTCCCACTCACAACCACCCCCACATGTGATGTGAAGGGAACACAGTGCCAGGAACTCTGGTTCTTAGAGCCTCTTACTTAACTTAGCCCCAAGGAACTAGATCTCAAAAAAAAAAAAAAAAAAAAAAAAAAAGATAGTTTTTCATGAATTAGAGGCAAATGTGCTCTCTCTCTCTTTTTTTTGTGGAGAGATTTTTTTTTTTTTTTGTAGAGAGGTTTTCTTTATAGGGTGCGCCCACTTCCCAGAGAGACAGAGAGAAACAGAGACATAGAAGGTGAGAAATCACCCCCCAGAGGGGGTGGCCATGCTGCAATCCCTTCTCCATTCTCCTCTCGGGATTTTGGGCACGGGCACGCACGCACATGCACCCAGCATGAGTTTTAAGGCACCAGGTCTGGCACTCGAACCATGGTTGACTATGTGGGAGTCCAGCATGAAACCATTTCGCCATCTACTGGTCTCTGAGACAAATGTTCTTAAAACTAAAATTTGCTGTACATATAATTATTGAAATATGCCTTAGCTTATGACCAGGTGAGTCTAACTAGTCCAGTTATATCTCTGACGGGCATGGCAGGAATCTAATCTTTCCTCTTTCCTTTTCATCAGAACATTCTCATAGAGTAGGCTCGGCTTCCAAGAAAGTCTAGCATTTTTTAGTAAATTTAAAAACAACAACAACAACAACAACTCAACTTCATAATAACCTTTATAATTGCTACTTCAAAATAGAAGTTTGGAACGGCACCAAATTATTAATCAGGAGAAAGACAGTGGATTGCAAAAAGGTAATTACACCAAATTGAACACTTCTTGAAAGATATTCTGTTAAATAAAAGATAGTCCTTCTCCCCTGCTTCTACTTGTCTGCAGTGAGGCTTGTTCAGGGAGTGTGAATCAGGAATCAGAGTACTGTTCCCTGTTCCACAGATCGCCTTAACAGCTTTGAGTTTACTCAGATTAGAGATGACTATTGTCCTTTAACTTCTTGCACAGGAGAGGCAGCCACATTCGCTTGAAAGCCTGGAAGTGAATTATCAGTCTAGGTTAGACACTCTTGAAGTGGCATGTTATGACTTTGTCCCATTCCTGGACAGTTAGACTGTAATTCTTGATTGTTTAAAAAGGGGTTTGAATGTATTTTGTTAAAAGGCTTGAATAAATAGCTGCTTTTCTTACATTTTTGCTTACTTTTTTAAGCATTAGAATAGCTCCCAGCTCTGACAGCCTTGTGCTGACTGGGATGGGATTTTGGGATTGGACCAAGTGGTTTGCATGATTTACACTTGACTGAATAAATATAGCCTAGCAGGTTATATGATGTGCAAATTACTTAAGGGTAAGTGGATTATTTAACTATTTAGAAAATGATAGGGCATTACAGATTGGTTTGGGGCTATTGTCTTTTAGATGCTATCCTTAAAATGAGAGCTCTATTGGTCTGAAGACTTAGTGTCTAATGATAATGATGAGTAATCTTTAATGAGTACCTGTCCTGTTCTGCCTATGATATGTTTTATATGGATAATCTCACTTAATCCTCCTCAAGATTTTGTGCAATCAGCTCTGTGACAACTCTCATTCTGCACATGAAGAAACAAGAATACAAGAAACAAAACCAGCATGAACCTAACTAGTCTGACTGCAGAGCTTGACTCAGCCATTGTGTCCCATCAGACAGCAGAAGGGGGACACAGAATTGTCTGGGGGTGGGGGTGAGTGTCCTGATTGCCAAAGGGAAGTGAGATTGCTACTGTGTAGTAGGAAGAACCCTGGACACGCCTGTGTGTCTCCTGTGTCCTACCAGGCAGAGATTAAAGGTGATGAATGACTCCATCCTCTACATGGAGAGAAGACCAAGGTCCCTCAGGAGTAAATGTGGGGGTCAGCTGACAGCCGAGGATGCCTGGCTCAGCTCTGGAGGAAGAGTCACACATGGCTTTGTGGTAGTATCAGAATCTCAACTGGAACTTTTTCCCGAGGCTTGGGTTTCTGATGCTTGTTCTTTGCTGGAATATCTGCAGATTGAAAATGCAGCTCATACTTAGCCCTTTCCTAGTCTGTAGAAAAGAATCGTAGTTTTTTTCTTGCTTAATAAGGTTCTGATGGCCAAGGTTACTGCTTTCTTCATAGGCTGCAGAGTAGAGAGAAGAAGCCAATGAATCATATGGTAGTAGAAATGGAAAGAAAGATGAGATTTTTACACTGGTCTAGTGTTGGTTTGAAACTGAAATTTGTTTTCTTTATTGACTGTTACAAAAAACAACAAATGAATACACAAGAGTAAATGTTAAACAGTATAATATGACACATGATGAAAACTTAAGGTCATCTGCTAGTCATACTAAAATCCATAGTCTCTTTCTCAACACATAAACATTAGTAAGAGTTGCTTCCAAAATTAAATATACAGGAATTGGAGACTCTAGGTTCTTCTGAACTCTTGTTCTTATCAACTAGAATGGGGTGCACACCCAGAACATAGACTGAGAAGCCAAACTCCCTTGATCAGTGAGAATGCTCCTTTCTAATGCTGTGATGGGGCTCCTGTGCCATAGTTCTTCCCACAGGGCAGCATGACTATGTAGATGTGAGCTGTCTGGATGCCCAGGAAGTGTAGATTTAAAAACCACTTCTGAGTTTGTTTACTGAGCATCTAATATTTATGTAGCCAAGGCTACTGGCAGGGAAGTAAATTCTTTGGAAAGCAGTGAAAAAGTCATCAATTTGGAACATCAGTAAACTGGACAAAAAGGAAATACAGATGTCAGGAAAGGGAGGAAAGAGAACCCCATTCTGACTGGGGTTAGGTGGGATCTCATTGTGGTTTTGATCTGCATCTCCCTTATGATAAAGGATGTTGAACATTTCTTCATATGCTTTTTGGCTGTTCGTATGTCTTCTTTAGAGAGTTGTTTACTCGGCTCATTTTTGGTAAGCCGCTTCAGTTCCCTGTGCATTCTGGTTATCAGTCCCTTATCTGAGGCACAGTTAACAAAATTTCTCTCCCATTCTGAGGGTTGTCGATTCACAATAGTGACAGTGTCCTTTATTGTGCAGACACTTCTTAATCTGATGTAATCCCACTTGTCTATTTTGGGGAATATACGCTGTGCTTTGGGGGTCTTACTTAAGAAGTCTTGGCCTACCCCAATGTTTCCCAGAGTTTCCCCAGTGTTTCCACCAGTAGGTTTATCATTTGCGGTCTTAGATTTAAATCTTTGATATACTTCGAGTTGATTTTTGTTAATGGTGATAGACAGGGGTTCAGATTCAACTTTCTGCAGGCAGATACCCAGTTTTTCCAGCACCATTTGCTAAAGATGTTTTCTTTTCCCACTGGATTTACTGGTACCCTTTGTCAAAGATGAGTTGGCTGTATGTTTTGGGGTTTATTTCTGGGGTTTCCACTCTTCCATTGTTCCTCATGTCTGTTTTTGGGCCAGTACCATGCTGTTTTAATCAATTTTATGATTTTAGTCTTATGTTTAAACACTCTTCTGTTGAATATGCAGTGTTACTGTGGTCCAATCTTTCCGTTTAAATCCTGGAAGTTAATATTCAATGTTATTATTGATATGTCTTGTCTCTAGCATTAAATTGGTCATTTTCTTGGTTGCCTTTTGTTTTCTTATTTCTGTATGTGTCTTTAGTTTTCCTGGTAGATCATTCCCTTCAGAACTTCTTGAGTTCATCTGCTATTGGCAAATTCTTTCAGGTCTTATTTATCTGAGAATGTTTTAATTCTTTCTTTCCGTATTAAAGATAATCTTGACAGGTATAGTATTCTTGGTTGAAACTGTTTCTCCCTTAACACTTTTAATATATTTTTCCATTCTTTCCTTACTCTCATTGTTTCTGATGAGAGGTCTGAGGCTAACCTGATTGGATAACCTTTTTAAGTTTCTCTCTTGCAAATTTTAGTATCTTTTTTTTTTAGAGAGGTTTTCGCTATAGAGCGCGTGCACTCGCCAGACAGACAGAGAGAGACATAGAGACAGAAAGCGAGAAATCACCCCCCAGAGGGGATGGTCATGCCACAATCCCTTCTCCTCCATTCTCCTCTCAGGATCTTGGGCACGCACGCACACGTGCCCAGCTTGAGTTTTAAGCTACCGGGTCCGGGACGCGAACCGTGGTCAACTACGTGGGAGTCCAGCGACATAGCCATTACGCTAACTGCTGGTTCCCGCAAATTTTAGTATCTTGTCTTTGTCTGTAGATTTGGCCAGTCTGGCTATGATGTGCCTTGGGGAAGATCTTCTTGGATTGATTCTTGGGCCTGGATATTTGCATGCCTCTCCAGATTTGGAAAGTTTTCTTTCAAGATGTCATGGAATAGATTATCAATGTTCTTGTTAGTTTCCTTATCTTCTGGGATATGGATTATCCCAGATGTTTGGGCACTTAATGGTGTCTAGTATTTCTTGCATAGTACTCTCCTTTTTTGTGGTATTTTCTCAGTTTTTTTTTTTTTTAATGTTTTTCTTCCTAGATGAGAGGTTTTACCTTTAACATCCGAGATTCAATTTTCTGCATGGACTAATCTCCTCTTAATACTTTAGAGGGAGGTTTTGATTTCCTGAATGGCAGCCTTCATCTCTAATAGCTCCATTTGATTCTTTTTTATGGTGTGTATTTCCTCTTTCAGGTCATGGAAGAATTTCAACACCTCCTGGAACTCATTTGTCTTTTTTCTCCTGCATCTTCTGGAGTTTATTATCTCTCAGCTCTTGCATCGCATTTAGTTTTGTCACTATGAATATCCTGAATTCTCTGTCAGACATTTCCATGAGATCTACTGTACTGTCTGTGGATGATGAAGGATTGTTCTTTTCTCTTAGGGGAGAGATATTTTTCTGATTTCTCATGGTTTTTGTGCCTCTGTGGTTGTTTCTGGTCAATTTATGACAAAAATATATCCTCCACTGAGCTTTGCAATGTGGTATCCACAGTAAGATTAGGAGTTCAGATTGATAAAAAGAACTTTCTTCATTAAAGCAGGAGGTTCAATAGGCAGTGAGGATTTCAATGATTCTATAAGTATTCAGATGCTTGGCTGCTATGCACCTAGGCCTATTTAGACTTTCATTATGTGGAGAGTGAAGCTTAGAGTGGGAAAGTAAGGATAAAAAAATTAGCAAAAAGGAAAAAAAATGAGAAAAATACTACCAAAAAAGAGAAAAAAAATTTTTATGCTTAAAAAATGAAAAATAGCACTCCACGTGAACACACCAGAACACACCTCAGCTTTACACCTCAGCTTTAAAATGGCTTCTTGTCTGAATATTTCAGGAGCCTAGGAGATGGAACCTAGAGCATAGCTTCCCTGAACACGCCAGAACACACCTCAGCTTTAAAATGGCTTCTTGTCTGAATATTTCAGGAGTCTAGGAGAGGGAGCCTCCATAAATCTTTTGATTTCAGTCAATCTCTTCAGTAGTCATGAAGTCATTAAGAAGTAGGTTGTTTAGTTTCCATGTATTTGTGTATTTTTGAGGGTTTTTCCTGAGATTAAAATCAAGTTTAATTCCATCATGGTCAGAGAAGAGCTGGATATAGTTTCTATGCTTTCAAATCTGTAAAGGCTGGTTTTGTGCCCTGTTATGTGGTCAGTATTTGAGAAAGTACTATGTGGGGCTGAGAAAAACGTCTATTTTGTGTTTTTTTTGGGTGGAAAGTTCTATAGATGTCTATCAAGTCCATCTGATTTATGCTGTCATTTAGGTCTTGGATCTCTTTGCTTATTTTTTGTCTCGTTGACCTGTTTAAAGGAGATAATGGGGTGTTGAAATCTCCAACAATTATTGTGTTACAGTCTATTTCTCCTTTTAGATCTTTTAGTCTTTCCTTTATATATTTGGGTGCTCCTAAATTTGGTGCATAGGTGTTTATTAGTGTTATATCTTCTTGGTGAATTAGCCCGTTTACTACTATATAATGCCCTTCTTTGTCTCTTGTTATGGCTTTTGTCTTAAAGTCTGTTTTGTCCAAAGTCAGTACAACGACTCTGGCTCTTTTCTGGTTTCCATTTGCATGGAATACCTTTTTCTAGCCCTTAACTTTCAGTTTATGTATGTCTTTATCCATGAGCTGAGTTTCTTGTAGGCAGCAGATGGACTGTTTCTGATTTTTAATCCATTCATCCAGTCTGTGTCTCTTGATTGGAGAATTTAATCCATTGACATTCAATGTTATTGTCGATATTTCCAGAATTGTCCCTAAAATTAAGATTGCCATATTCTTGGTTGTCTTTTGTTCCCTTGTTGCTGTCTGTCTCTTTAGTTTTCTTGGTATACTACTCCTTTCAGATTTCTTCAAGAGCTGGTAGTTTGGAGTTGGTGAATTTTATCAGGTTTTATTTATTCAGGAACATTTTCATTTTCTTTTCCCATATGAAGAATACGCTTGCCGGGTAAAGTATTTTTCATTGAAATTGTTTTTCATTTAACACTTTGAATGTATTTCCCCATTCTTTTCTTGCTTGCATTATATCCCATGAGAGTATTAACCTGATGGGATAGCCTTTGTAGGTTATTTGAAGTTTCTATCTCGCCAATCTTAGTATCTTGTCTTTGTCGGTCGTTTTGGTCAATCTAGCTATAATGTGCTGTAGAGAGGATCTTCTTGAATAGATTCTATCTGGGGTTCTTCATATTTTTGGGGTCTGTATGTTTGAGTGCCTCTCTAGTCTTGGAAAGTTTTCTTCCAGGATTTTGTAGAATAGATTATCCATGCCCTTATTAGATTCTTCACCTTCTGGGATACCAATTATTTGGATATTTGGGCGTTTCATGGTATCTAGTATTTCTCATATGTGATGTCAGTTTTCTTGGCTGTTTTTTGAGTATTTTTGATAATTTTTTCTAAGTTAGAAGTTTTGTCTTCTACTTCTGAAATTTGATCTTTTGCATAGCCTAGCCTGCTTTTAATACTTTCTAGGGAGGTTTTAATTTCCTGTAGCATAGCCTTCATATCTAACAGTTCTGTTTGGTTCTTTTTTATAGTGTCCAATTCTTCTCTCATTTCTTGAAAAGACTTTCTCTTGTTAGTTTCCTTATCTTCTGGGATATGGATTATCCCAGATGTTTGGGCACTTAATGGTGTCTAGTATTTCTTGCATAGTACTCTCCT